ACACACACACACACACACACACACACACACACACACACACACACACACACACACACACACCACTACAGAGAGGGAGTGCTGTGTCTTTGTACATATTGTATGTACTCATTGTCAGAGCTTATAGTTTTTTTTTTATTATTTTAAAGGTGACACAGTTGACTGACAAGCTGAAGAACCAATCAGAGAGTAACAAGCAAGCCCAGGATAACTTACACAAGCAGGTCCAGGAGCAGAAGACCCTGCTGCGTTCATCCCAGGACCGAGCTCAGACCCTGGAGACGTCCGTCAGCGAGCTCACCGCTCAGCTCATGAACACCAAGGAGAAGGTGTCTCAGCTGGATGCTCAGGTCAGTCAGCATCACGGAGGAAGACTGACCCAGGTTTATGTTGTGATGCAAAATGTTTGTTTATGTTGTTTGTTTTTGATTTGTTTATTTTCTCCAGCTGAAGGCAAAAACAGAGCTGTTGCTGTCGGCAGAAGCAGCCAAGGCTGCTCAGAAAGCCAACCTGGAGAACAACCTGGAGGCRGCTCAGCATGCTCTGCAGGACAAACAGCAGGTGGCTTTCTGCTTCCTGTTCAACTTTCTGAAGCCTTCACTTCCTTTTTATACTTTCTGTCTTTCTTCCCTCAGTTTTTTTTTTTTACGATTGTTCTTCTGTTAAATTCCAGGAACTGAARAAAGTTCAGAAGAAGGTTGAGGAGAAAGCCCAGAGGCTGAAAGAGAGACAGGAGCAGTGTGCTCAGCTAGAGACCAGCCTGAAGGAGTGGAAAGACAAACTGCTGGCTTCAGAGCAACGAGTTGAGCAGCTGGAGGGCCTCAATAAGGTTTGGGTTGAGCATATGTACATCATTTTATGTTATGACACAATTTTCAWATGTTTTACAAATAAAAATCTGGAAAGGGTGGCATGCATTTATATTGAAAAAACACCCTTTACCTCATTTTCAGCTGCAAGTTTTTTATGGTTTCATGTGGTTTCTTCCCCACAAATTGCTTCAGGCTCAGTCAGACTGGATTGATTTATTTATTTATTTATGGATGGACAGCATCTGTGAAGTTCTGTCACAGGTGTCAGGCTTTTATTTGTCAAACAGTCAGCTTCCTTCCACTTCACGATTAGGATCTACTTTGTGTTGGTGTATTGCAAAAATAATCCCTGTAAAATATGTTGGTTTGTGTTAAAAAAAAATGAAATGTGGAAAAGTTCAATGAATTTGAATACTTGTTCAGGGCAAGATTTTAGGTCATAAATATATTATAATTTTGTTGTGATCAGAAACTGGAGTCACAGCTAGCTGAAGCCCAAAGCACACGGGACCAGCTGCAGCAGGAGGTGCAGAAACTGCAGAAGGAGAATTCGGAGGTAAAACGGAAAGGAAAGGAGCTGCAGCGCTTTCTGGAAACCGAGAAGGAAGGGTGAGACAAACGACACACAGTTTCATCTGAACCGAGARGTTAATGAAGATTTAAAGATGTGGGAGGTTTTATTAAAGCCTTTATTRGTTTTCTTTAAGAGCTAAAAACCTTCAAGAGGAATTAAAGAAAAAGGCTGCAGCTCTGAGCGACGTCCAGCAGCAGTTGGAGCGCTGCGAACAGGAGGTGACTGCTCTGAAGGTGAATCTGGGTAAGGTGACCCAGGAAGGAAAGAATCAACAAGCAGAGCTGAGCAAGAAGGCCCAGAGTCTGACGGTGGAGCTGCAGAGGARCCAGCAGGAGAAAGAAGCTCAGAGGAAGGAGCTTTCTGCTGCTCAGGAMAGCTTAGAAAAGACTAACAAGGCACTGAAAGACAGTCAAACCCAACTGAACTCAGAGAGGAAGAACCATAAATCAGCCATGGAGGAGAAGGTTGGTTTWAATCTTAGGTTGTATCCAATACAAATAATAAACAGCTTGTTTACAAAAACARGTTCACACTGAAAGCTGTATTCTGTCTCAATCCTCAGGAAAAATCCACTGAAAAAACAAGGCAGGAGCTTTTAAAAACTAACGAGTCCACCACAAAGGCCATGAAGGATTCTCAGGAGCAGCTGCAGCAGATGAAAGAGGTCAGAAAACAGACGAGCAAACTTCACTCTGTTCCAGTTTAACACTTTAACTTTACATATTCAAATGTCAGGCAGAGAAAAAGTTGAAGGCACAGCTGACGTCCGTGGAGCAGCAGCGCTCCAAGACTCAGGAAACACTGAAGCAGAAGGAGGCGGAGTTAGAGAAGACACGGGCGGAGCTTGAAACCATTCAGGGGTCTTTAGAGGAGGAGGTGAAGAAGCTGAAGGGCCAAGTGACGGAGCTGCAGGACGTCTGTGTCAAGAAGGTAAGAAGCTTTTCCAAACTCCAGACCGCCTTACATGATTCAGACAATTAGAACAAATGTATTGGTTTGTGTCTCCAGGCAGAAGAAGAAAGAAAACTGAGCGCTCAGGTGTCGGAGCTCAGACAGGAGTTAACGTCTGAGAAGAGCCGGACAGCAGACCTGCAGAAAGCCTCGCAGCAAAACCAGCTGGTCTTTACCAAACTTCAGTCTGACTTCTACGGCAAAGAGTCGGAGGTTTCTGCTCTGCGACAAGACCTCAAGGTAAAAAAACAAAACAAAACAAAACTCACAATCTGAGAAGGAAGGTGTGTTTTGATGCTCTTTGAGAATAGTGATCTCCATTACTTGAGGTTAAACAGCAGAACAAATCTAACCCTCGTGTATAATGCTAACCCTAATTTCATTCAGAATTCWGGATTTTACAGCCTTTGTGGTTATCCCGTATTTTGGGGGACACACATCGATGGTACATGTGCTGATAGTGGTCAGGTCCAACAGCAGAAAACGGTTGTTAAATTAGCAGGAAGATCAGRCCGTCTGGTCCTATTGAGGTTAGTTTTGAGGTTGAGTTTGAGGTTAGTTTTATTGAGGTTGAGTGTGCAGCTGAAGTCCACGTCTGTGTTTCATCTCTGCATCGTGGCTTACAAAAACAACAAGCTTGTRCTCCGAATCCGGTGTGAAAAAACACTAATGTTGTTTAAATGCTTAGTTATGCCTAACGTCTTCTACAGAAGGAGAAATGATGACTATTTATTAGAGGTGCAACAATACATGCATCTGAATTGAATTGTTCAATACAGTGCTCGAGGTTCAATATGCACTTTTTATCAAATGCAGATTTTAACATTTATTTTATCAGCTTCTGAAGATGAGCTGTATTGATTCTCAGTGGATCTGTGTTCTACTACTCCACCTAGGCTGCATTGTCAAGCACAGATCCACTGAGGAACTTGCTGTTTCAGCAACATTTAATTTAAAAACTGTACTTTTGAGGTTAAACAAATGTTCATAATTAATTTCAATAAGTTACGAGTTAAAAAAAGGCATGGACATTTCTCTTTTTATGTGTTGAAAAAATATCGAACAGTGACACTAAAGTATCTAACTGAATTGTGAATTTTCTCTCTCTTAGCACCCCTACTATTTTTTAACCGTGACACAATATTTCAGTTATATACAAGAAAATATTGAAATTTATTMTGTCAGTAGATTAGAAATAAATTGGTCTAAATTTACTCCTGTGTATAAAACCATCCCCTAACTTTATGGATGATTTTTGGAGTTAAATCTTTTGTAATATTCWTGAATGCACGGTAACTATAATGTAGCAAACTTTGAAAATACCWTGATACAAACTTGTTTCACATAYTAAGTGTTGGGAATGACTCTCAGTTAACACCACACCAAATCTTAGCTCAATATCTGTAAAACTGACTGAGCTAAATCCATTTTTGTAATGGCCTATGTAAGTTAACTGGACTGTTTCAGGAGAACAAGAACCAGATTTACTTCACTGACTTCCTCTCACGATGCTGAAATGTGACTTTGTGTGACGGCAGGCGTCCGAGGACAAATTGAGCGTGGCCCAGGAGGAGCTGGCTGCTAATCGGACCCATCAGACGGGTTTGGAGGCTCAGATCCAGGAACTGAAAGCGGGCCGCAGCTCGTTAGAGCAGGAGCTCTCCAYACGAGATCAGGAGCTCCAGCGGCAGGAACAAATGGTGAAGGAGCTGCAGAAGCAACAGGTAGGAGAAAAGGAAACAACGGACACATAAATACACATTTTCCACTTGATGAGATCTGATAAATATTAAACGCTCTGATCTGTTCAGGGTCAGGTTAACAAGGAGCTGCAGGACGAGAGAAACAAGATGGAGGAGCTGAACAACGCCAAGACCGCTCTGGAAAAAAACAACACAAAACTCTCGTCTGAGTTAAAAACATTTAGAGAGAAGAGCGAGAAGGTGAGTGTTCACACCGAGCAGACAGACGGGCTTTTCTATAAACGGGATTTAACGCTGGTGGTTGTTTAGGAGCTGGGTGAGCTGCGGGAAGTCAAACAGCTGTTGATCCAGCAGAAGCTGGAGCTGCAAGGTCAGGTGGAGGCAGCACAGGGAGCCCTCAAACAGGAGCAGAAAGACCACCAGACCACCAGGGACAGCAGGAGCAAAAGAGAGGAGCAGCTCCTCAGCCAAACAAAAGAAGTCCACAATCAGCTGGTGGGTCGCCTCGACAGGAAAAAAAAAACACCAGGAAGTTGTTCCCTTCACTTCCTGTTTGAAGCTTGTTTTATCTTCTTTAGGCGGCAGAGAAGCGAGCCCGAGAGGAGCAGGTGAAGCTGGGCGAAGAGGCCGAGGCCAAGCTGAGCGTGCAGGTGTCGGCTCTGAACGAGAACATGGCCACGCTGAAGAGGGAGTGGCAGAGCAGCCAGAGGAGYGTGGGCGAGCTGGAGAAACAGACCGACGAGCTGAGGGGAGAGATTGCTGTGCTGGAGGCCACGGTCCAGAACAATCAGGACGAGCGGCGGGCTCTTCTGGAAAGGTCTGTGGGCYTGGCTTTAGACCCTCATCCTGAGCCCCCCTTGTTGTCCCAACGGTGTTTGCTGTGAATCAGATGTTCAGTGAGAACATAAAGACACTTCAAGTGTCTGCTCCAGAACACGAGAGAGACAATGTGTGTCGTGTGTTCCAGGTGTGTGAAAGGTGAAGGGGAGATCGAGAAGCTGCAGACCAAAGTGATGGAGCTCAGGAGGAAGCTGGACGACACGACGGCGGCCATGCAGGAGCTCGGCAGAGAGAACCAGTCGCTCCAGGTAAGAGAAATATAAAAATACCACAGTGAATGTTTTTTATATTTACCTACCCTCAGGTAGAATAAGTTGCATTTATTTGTTCTTGCTTGTAGATCAAACAGTCCCAAAGTTTGACCCGAAAGTGGGCCGAGGACCATGAGGTTCAGAACTGCATGGCCTGTGGGAAAGGCTTCACCGTCACCGTCAGAAAGGTGAGGGATGTTCTGCTCTTTATTTAAACAGCCGAGCACAGCGTTTTCCCTTTTCCCTGAACTTCTCTCCGTCAAATCCAGCACCACTGCCGGCACTGCGGGAACATTTTCTGCGCCGAGTGCTCGTCTCGGAACGCCCTGACGCCGTCCTCCAAGAAGCCGGTCCGGGTGTGCGAGACGTGTTTCGAGGAGCTCCAAGGCTGATGGGTTTTTATTTTTAACTTTTTCATCTCATCCCCTTACCTCCTCCAATCCTTACATTCTCCATTCCAATGAGCAGAAATAGTCTGTCATTTTTAACGTGCACTATGAAGGATAAACCAAGTACGCAGACTCCTGTCAGACTCCTGGTTCTGATGTTTCGGMGGAGGGGAGGATAATTAAAGGGATCCACTGAGGAGACACCAGAATCATTATGGGACGAGATCAGTTTTGTCTGTATCTATTTTTGTGCCTTTGCTACTCCTGTGGACTGCCAGAGAGCGGAAACAGTGAGGATGAAGCATCGTCCGTCTCTTCAAACTCTCATCCATCGCTGTCCGGCCTCGTTAGCCACGGTGTTAAATGTTCACATATTGTGGAGTAATTCTGCCCTACAAAGGTAAAATATGAGTTACTTTAATATTTATTTCTAACCTAGGACAGAGAAATCACTGTAAAGTCAAAACTTAGGCAAAAATAATTAATTTTTTATCACTTTTCAATCAAATGATGAGAAAATAATGTAGGTGTAACATAATTCAGTTTATACTAACACCTTTTACACGAGGGGTTGTTGGTGTTTTAATTTATATTTGTGCAAACTGTCATGAGGACAGAACAGTATTTTAAATGCACAAGGATGCATTTTTGTTTTATTGTTTTCACTACACGAGGTTTCTGTCAGGTGTAACTCATGTTTTAACAAAGTTGGGATGTTGTGTTAAATATACATAAAAACATAAATCTGATAAACCCATATTTTATTCTCAAAGAAGCATAAATATGGGTCGTTTCATTTTAATTTTTTTTCCCAATGTCCCAACTGTTTTGGAATTAATTTGTATATATTTTATATATATTTTGGTTTTGAATGCTCAGTAGGAACAGCCCCAAAGACAGCAGTTAATTAGCCAMTTTGTACACCAGCTCTTATCAGTATCTGCAGAAAATGCATCGAATCAGTTCATGTGTTTCCTTTGTGCGGCAGACTTTGTAAGGAAAAGGAAAGTTTAACGTCTGTTTCACGACCAAAGAATGTGTGTGTGCAGCGTGACTCCAGCGGAGGTGAAAGTCCTGAGTTTGACTGTCTTCAGTGTTTTTAGAGCTTCGCCTGGAAGCTTTTTGAGTTTTAGTCACAGGATCGGACATTTTCATCTTAAAAGAAAGAAGAAAGAAAAACTGCACGCTCTGTGATCAGTCTTGTCTGACGGCTGTTTTTTTTTTCTGTGTATTTTCTACAAATTGTGGTGCTTTTTGCAGAATGGTCATGCAGCCTTTGAAGGTGTCTGTGTTGTCTTTTTTTTTCCTGCTGCTTGTTTTCACTCATCAGCACTGACTCCAGCGGAAGGTGTGTGTGTGTGTGTGTGTGTGTGTGTGTGTGTGTGTGTGTGCGCGCGCGTGTGTGTGTGTTTAGGACTGCTCAGATCTGTTGTATGAACGTGAGCTTGGGGGACTTCATTGCTGCTTTCAAGTACAGCAGTAAATTGCAGTTCTTTGTCCAGATGAGAACACTGTAAATGTAAATTCCTGCTTTGTTTAACTGATATTTGTTCGGGACGATCTCTTGTGCAATTGTCTGTAGACTGGAGCAGGTGGAAACACTGGAAGCCAGACTATGCACACTGTTCTTCAGCTTCTGTCAGCTCTTTGTGCTTGTTTTTATTTTTACATTTTTTTAACGCTCGTCAGTACTGAAGAATGTCCTTTTCGAACGCGAGTAAAAAAAAAACTCGTTTTTTGGAGTTTAATTGGTTTTTGTCTACCTCAGGTTGGCAGAGAAAAAAAAAGCACTATTTCTAAACTTCAGGCACAGTTGGACAGAACTGTGCAAAAGTCTTAGGTTATGTCTCAGTTCTTTACTTTTACTTCCAAGCAGCCAGACTTCCTTGTATTTATTGATGATCTTATCTCAGTGTTCTGTCCTTTCAGACGAAACATCTAATTTAACTGAGGCTGGTTTAAAACTTCTGCACAGTGCTGTCTCTTTGCCTGCATTCGATGTAGGATTTCTGACTGTTCCGTCATGTTGGACAGTCCCTTAACTCCAGATAAAAAATTTGCACCTTATAGTATTCTGGGCTCACCTTCAGCATTTCCTGCTCTGCGTTCTGACGCCTGACATGTTTGTAAATGTTTGRGACGAGGCGAGTAAATTACTTCTTCGTGCACGTAGAAACGTGAAAACAGTGAAACTGTGTTTGGATTTGTCTTAACTCATTTTCTACAAAATGATTTTGACCGCAGACGTGCACWCGCTGAGCCGCGGCTCGATCTGCTGCTGCTGGTCCGACGGGCTCCACGTTCGGTCTTCGTACTTATCGGGTCGTGCTGGWGGGCCTTTAGAGACTGGGATCCTGCAGGTCCTGCAGTCTGTGGGACTTCAGTTGAGCTGAAGAAAGGAGGGGAGGGATGTAATTTATGCTCACATGCACCATGTTGATTTTCTTACTCATTGTCATTGCAAATTTAAATAAAAATCTACATTATGTTTCTAGATTTTTCTGTTTTTGTCTTCATTTTTACACTTAATAGTTTTCTGCTCATTTTATTTTCTTTTAACTGACAATTTTCTATGTGGATTTGGGATTGAATTATTATAAATGCATTTTTGTGTTTTTTTTTTATGATAAACTTTGAAACTTTGGCCGTGTAGTATATCACTATCTTGTTTTCCATTTGAAATATTTATATACTTTGATTCTGAAGCACTTTCCTTGTGAAAATATTAGGTCAAATATACACTTATACAGTATATACTTCACTAGCTTTATTCTCACAAAAGGGTCAACTTCTCCTTCAGGATGCCTGTAAAGCCCTTCACATCCTGGCCAGCAGGTGGAGCTGCTGAGCTTAAAGTGTAACATTTCTTATTAATAAAAAAAGAAAAATTTGACAATACATGTTAGGATAAAAATAATAGCTGTTTTGTAACAAATGACATTTTTAGTTTGAACTATGCCCAGCTAAGGTGGAACTCCCTGGTACTTTACTGTCTGTTAGCATTTATCGCTCCGTTTACATGCAGGTGTTCCTCTTACAGAAGTCCTGCTCAGTGACATTTATGACCCTATATTTTTGCAATGTGTTAAGATTTCAAAAAACACCTTCATGTATATCACAAAAATTTGTTGTCTCAGACACTTTAAAATATCTCTTATTCAATTTGATTTTGATGATATTCTAAAAAGGCTCTGTGATGGACTTTCAACCTGTCCAGGGTGTACCCCGCCCCTCACACAGTGAAGCAGGTAAAGGATAATGGATTGATATGTTGAGAAAAAAAAATCTTCATATTCAGAATTTATTGAACACTAATGCAGTTTCTGCCTTTAAAAGGCACACATGTAATTTACAAAAAAAAAACAGTCCCAGTGCTGTTTGAGTGGTTCAGATGTCAGTCTGAAGTTCACACTGACTGGACCTGATGGGTCAGATCTGTGAGGACTCCAACCAGGAGGATGTATTCTTCAGCCGTGGCTGCTGAGAGTCCAGCTTCAGCAGCGCCGACGCCGCACCTTCCATCTTTGATAACCACTCCCTCTAGAAAAAAAAAAAAAAAAAAAAAAAGAGGCAGAAACTTAAGACTAGTTTGTTAAACCTGACAACAAAGCTGCACATTTCTGTGTAAAGGTCNCTTCAGCAGCGCCGACGCCGCACCTTCCATCTTTGATAACCCCACTCCCTAAAAAAAAAAAAAAAAAAACAGTCAGAGGCAGAAAATTAGGACAAGTTTGTTAAATCTGACAACAAAGCTGCACATTTCTGTGTAAAGGTCCTCAAAGTAATGATTTTTTGGTTTTAAAGAAAAACTAGAAAAAGATAAGTTGCAGGTATTTACACAATAATTCTACAATAAATGAGTTTGTTTTATAAGATATAAATTTAAACTAGAAGTTCTAATAAGGTTCTCTGTTACAGTAAGTTAAATCATTGCACACAAACACTGAAATGTAAAAGTGCGYGGAAAATAAAGACACCACTGTTTGTAAAATAATTTTATGTCCAGAAAACCGATGTTAGAGGTTCGACTGAGTGTTGTGATATAATTTTCCAGATTTTCCCGTCAGGCTTGAACTGACCTTGGCAGCCTCTGATGCAGCTTGCAGGATGAACGCACCGATACACTGTTGGTAGCGGTTGTGGTGCATTATTATGAAAGAGTGAGGCAGACCCGATGCTGTGGAAAAAAAAAAAAAAAATTTTATTGTTACATAAGAAAACAACTATAAATAAGACGCTGCAGCTCTGGTGTTTTTATTCACCACCTCTGCTGAAGGTCTCACCACAGCTGGAGAACTTATAATAAAAAGTTGTAATTACTGGAGGCATTGAGCTGATCGATGTTCTTCAGCTGGAGTCGGTCCAGAGAGATGGGCTGGTCCAGAACCGTGAAGGTGCATCCCTCCTTCAGCAGCTGATCCAGCTCCAGGTTCTGCTGCAGCCTCAGAGAGTTCTCAGAATTTGTGGACCTCTGCACAGACAACGAGAACTGAGAGCCTGAATCTCTAACGTGAGTTCGGATGAGAGCGAGAGGACGACYAACCTTTTTGTTCCTCTTTATCTTTGTGATCAGCAGGAATTCGTCGAACAGGAACAGATAAACATCGATSAGCTTTGTGTTCTCTGGTAACGAACCAAAACAAAGAATCTGGTTTTATTCAAAGTGCTGAGCGTGAAAAATGTGCCGGGGGGTGTWTGCCAGCTGTGTCACCTGTGAGCACCAGCTTCCCTTCGTGCAGCAGACTCCGGTGAGAGATGAGATTCTCCAGGGTGACGGCCTTCAGCAGGTGTTTCAGATTCTGAAAGAGAAAAAGCAATAAGTCGCATCAGATTCCACTTACAGATAAACGAGAAGCCGTCYTACATCTGTGACCGAGGTTTCCCCACATAAACCACAGAAATGTTTACAGGTAAACAAACAGCGGTCGGACCTCTGGGATGAAGGATCTCTTCTCTCTCTCCCACACAGGCGGCCACACCAACGCATCCCTCAGCTGTTTCACCTTCCTGTAGTTATCCAGCCATTTGACCTTTCCCTCCAAGTCACCTGCAGACACAGATTCCAGTCAGTGGTAAAAAAATGACAGATTTCCGTCTGACACTCTGGCCTTTCAACAGCAACGTTCCAAAAGAACAGGATTTACTCAATTAAAAAAACAGAGTAATTTCAAATGTTCATCTTTAACAGAGTGTTTGTGAGAAACAAACTGATCCCTGAATTTAATACTACAAACTGATGTATGAGCTTTAAAATAAAAAAAATATTGAACAAACCTTCCTGTTTTATACATAAACATGAAATAAAAATTAACAAAAAATTATGTAAAACTTCTGATTTTGTGCTTTAAAGTATTTTGCATCATTTGCAGGACATTTATTCAAATAAATATAGAGAAAATGGAATAATTTAGTTTTCAGGAGGCTGTTTTTAAACTCTGCTTTGGTTTTATAAATCCTTGTATCGCCCACTGCTGAAAGGCAATAATGCTTTTGATTTTATTTGTGTTTATTGTTTCATGAACTAGGTAAATTTTAATGAAATTTTCAAAAATAAATAATTTAAGACGTATTGGGTTGATCAGTTTTTCCTGTTATGCTGGATTAAAAGTGGGTTTTAAAACCTTCCTCTGCTTTAACAAATTAAAATTTAAACGAGGAACCATTCAGCTTTTTATTATCAGCACAAAGTTCAAAATCCCGTGTTTGTTCACTGGTTTTATTTAGTGAACGAGTGGTAACTGAAGAACACCGAGGCCTGACAGCTAACATCTACACTGGATGATTTCTACAGATTAGTGAAATCTGTGACGCCATCCAGGTGTTTATAGATAATAAAACATCCTTTCGTGTGGCTTTAAAACACGTCCTGCTGCAGATCCACACAAATATTTTCACAAACCAGAGGCTGATTTAGATTTTTAAACAAAAATATCTGAAACAGTTTGGAGACAGAAGCAGTTACTTGTCTAAACTCCTGGAGTTGTTAAAAAGGAGGCGATTAAGAAAAGATTAATGCAGATCTAGATAATCTGATTTTATTTACATTCACAAACAGCTGTGCCTCGTGCTCATCAATGGGCCATTACAGCTGATAATTATTATCTGTTGATTATCTGCATGGTGATGACAAACAAGGGTGTGGCAATTTCGTGAGAGAAGTATCTTCCCCCTCACACCCAGCTGAGGACATTAACCCAACACGTCTCAGCTCTGACTGCCTGACTGGGTCAGCTGTGCTCAACTCAATCATGACCATTAAACAGGTGTGGTGCAAACAAACTTTCTGAATTTGATTATAGAATCGTCGGTTTTTTTGCTCGGGGTGCGACAGTGAGGTGCAGCACGTTTCCCACAGCCTGTCCGTCGAGTTTCGTGACACGTCTGCAGGCAGAGGCGTGCTGGCTGCGGTCCAACACATCTGAGCTAAAAACACGKCTAACATCCACGTTGCGCCATCCTTTTATGTTTGTAAACATCTCCTCCGAAGTGTTGAAAAACAGCCSTTTAAATGACATCACCCTGACACTTTGAGGCCGAGATCAGATCTGTGCTARTAAGTCAACAAATCAGACGAACGTCCCTGCTATCGCTCGGAGGTGAGGCTGRGGTGCTGACGGGTGATGGATGCTCACATATAGACGCGTCCACCTGCTCGGTCACAACCAGCAGCCCTCTGCTCTCCTCCGCCAGCTGYCACCTCTTTGCGATGTTCCTCAGCAGCAGCGGGTATCGGGTTAGCCTGTGCAGAGGCGCCACCAAAAGGTCGCGTAGCAGCAGCCTCCGGCACTGCTCGTTCCTCTCGCCCCACTGAGGAGCAAACAAAAACAGTGGGGGAGGAGTCAGAAAGGCAGTGAGAAGATGTGAGAATAAGCTTCAATGTGTGACGGTGAGGAGCAGGCAGCACATGGTGACATTCCTCACTGGCAGGGCTCTAAACTAAACTAATGGTTTAAGAGGCAGCGTAGCGGRGTGTTCTCTTTCATACCTGGCACACATCGCCTGCAGCTTCTTACAGGTACATGGCGTTCTTGTTTTCACAAGCTAAAACAAACAATCACACAAACTGTCTCCTGTACCTTTACGTATGATCCAAAATCCTCCCTGGACATCAGGTTGTACAGATAAAGCAGAGCTGAGGAGTAGTTGAGGCAGTACTTCTCCAGGCAGTGACATATGCTCTCCTGAAACGTCTGCCAACAGATACAAGAGCCGTTCAAACAGATACAGATTTATGGGTCACATCAGGCTGCAGATAAACAAACAATAAAAAGGTGAGGAGATCACAAAATGCACGTAAGCAAAATAAAAAAGGAGAAAAAAAAACTATAGGATGGTGAAAACACAGCCGCAGCCTGGCATTAATCATCTGTTTTGTCACAGGTGCAGTAAGTCGTCACAGCGTCTGACTCATACTCGCCTTGCTCAGCAGCTGCAGCAGGGTGGGCCCGCCGCCCTTCGTGATCTCCAGCGTGTCCTTAATGACACGCAGGAGGTTCTTCAAGAAACTGGAACTCACCTGAAGGCAGAGAGCAGAGTGTCAGGTGTCGCCACGAGAACTTCTGCACTTTCAGTTTGTTCTCACAGGGAAGCAGCTGCTTGGGATTAAAAACTGGTATTTCTAGAAGGGTTTAAACGTTTATTTACTAGTTTTGGAGAACATTTTGCTCAAAGCAGGAAACAGTTCAAGTAAAAAGCTTATTCTGTCTTTTTTTTACTGGAAGGGACCTAAAAATACTAAACAGAGTCACGAGGGYAAAAAAATCTGTTTACATCAGTTTTACAGATTTTGAATTTTCACCTAAATATGTGAACAAGTCCTGGAGTTCAAACTTAAAAAATAAAGGTTGCAGAGATATTGTTGAAATATAAAAAGTGATAATAAACCTTTAAACGAAGACCCTTGTTGAACATTATAAAGCTTTAAATACATTTATGAATTACTTTTTAATTTTTTTATAACAGATAAAGTAAAAAAAAATGACATTATTATATATTTTTATATTAAATTCTCAACCCACACCTGGTGTTTCATGACCACAGGTTTGGAAACCACTAATTTAAAGAATACGTTGTTTGAACTGCACTAGAATAGTCTTGCTACCATTATAAAAACCTCTACAACAATTTATATGCTTAAAAAGACGATTAAGTAGAAATCACTGGGAAAATGTACKGTTTGTAGCATTTAGTGAAAATAAGACCTGAAGATATCTGATGTTTTTGTTTTATTTTTGTTTGGAAGTCGTTGAAGCTTGAGTTTGTTAAAGTTGTTTTTTTTAATTGAAAATAAAGGACAGATATAAGACTTTTATCTTTATTCTGCACTATTCATTCACGGCATGATTCACTTTTCATTTTTTATTTTGCTGTATACAGATTGCTTTTTTTTATAAATTAAATAAATTGAAAAAATGAAGAATGGCTTTAAGAATAGTTTTTTAATTTTTTTTTCAGCTTAGGTTAAAATAAGTTTATAAACATGGACTAAAATGATTAATTTAGATGTTATTTCATGTTTAWGAAGGTTGCAGCTGCTTCATGTGATTTACATGATGAATATTGTATCAGAAGGCCTCATGCAACTGTTTTGCATGTCGTCTCACCAGACAGAGTTCATTCAGGTTTGCAAACAGCCTCCARGAGTCCACATCTGTGAGGCAGCTCTTCAGCTGCAGGTCTGTGAGCGTCGCCAAAAACACCTACAAAAATCAAACAAAGACTTCAGCCATTTGTCAAAATCTGGCGTTGAATTTCAACCCCACTGCAGCTCTGAGAGGAAAACCCACAGAGACCTTTATTTGAGCACGCAGCAGGATTGGGTTTCATTTGGGTTGGGTCCGTTTGTTTGTGGTCCTGTGTGTTTGGGTGTGTACACACGTATTGTGGGTCTGTGAATGGAKAATCACCTCTTTGAGAACCATGAGCTGATCCAGGAAGTAAACACACTCGCTGGTGAAGAGTTCCCAGATGGCCTCTTGTCTCTTTCGACCCTGAGGGTCAGAGGTCATGCTCACCTGCTGATCCTGGAGGAACTCAGGCAGAGAGAAGTCCTGCACAAACAAAAAAACCACCATCATAAAAACCCTCAAACAGAGAAGCATCGACTTCCACACGTATGTACACCTCTGACCTTAAATTTCCTTTCAACATCATGACTCAGATGCAGGCCAGTGTTTGTTTATATATGTAAGTTAGGACAACTTGACCGGTTGCTGCCTAGAAATTCTGGTTTAGCTCACCAGGAGTCATTTCACCTTTGCAGGAGTTCTCCTTTAGCTCTGTTATCGTTTTAAGCTCCTCTGCAAACGGAGCAGTATTTATTTTGGAAATCAGGGCATCTTTGTYGTTCAAACTCTGCTTGGATTAGTACTTGAGCTGAACCAACAGGTGGATTTACATAAAAAAACAGATTTGTTGCAGACACTCATCATTTCTCACCTTGTATTTCTGAAATTCAGTACTCCTCCAGTCTTGAATCTGAACCGTTGAAAGGCATTTTTCTATATCTGGAACTCCGCCTATCTGCAACTTCCCTTTAGTCTGGAAAATAAAATAAAATAAAAAAACACAGAGGTTTCTGTTATTGTCTGGATAAAATAAGTGATTACATGCACGTTTCCCYTTTTGCCCCAGTTAATGTGTGCAAATATTACCAGGGCATCAAGTCTGACCCATGTTCTGCATTTCAAGTATTTATTTGTTACAAAAACTGTTCGACCCAAAAGGGATAAGAGGGAACAAACTAATCTGCTTTGAGAAGGGGGTCAGAGAACAAAGTCCAAACCAACTGCCCAGTTTAGGGCACCACTCACTCACCGTACTACGCCTTAAAAAGGGCCACTTTGATTTCTTTGTATCTGTAGCAATTAAGAGAAAAGAAAAAAAACATGTTAAACACAGATTATATTAACTTAAAAACATACAATTCTTTAATTTTAAAAACACACACTGAATCAAAAAGTTTTTTTWAACAAAACTAGCATCTGACTTAGCAGAATAATCCCCACATACCTGATACCTCTTTAAACTCTTCACTCAAAAGAAAATCTGCTTTTTAAAGTGAGGTGATGTTCACCTTTTAGGCATAAATTGCCAACATTACTAATATAAGCAGACTAAATTAATTAGTTAATAAACTTTATTTTWGACAGTTAGCTTTAATATAAAGTAGTAATTCATCCAAAAGGTTTTCTGTGAGGTTTATGATAATGAGTTTGTTTCTTTAACCAACTTATATTTAAACTTCCACTCAGGTTTTCTAAAACATTATAAACTGTATGAATATTTAAAAAGGTCCAAAGGGCCTTGAATGTTATTACTGTTTATATAAGCAAGTTAGCTACTATCTATTCGTTTTATATAACCTCTTCATCAGATATTAGATGATTGTGTAGGCTGAAGCTTTTCCTGAAGGATAAAGTACATCCTGGAGAGGTTTCACATGACTGTAATAAACATTTTATAAACAAGTCGCTTTTAGGGAGCTCCTTAAAGACTCTCCTCATTTCAAAGACTAAAAAACACTTGTTGCTTGGCTCACAATAACAATAAACATGGGTGGAGCTACAGTCAAACCTACTGACTAACCTGATTTAAATGCTGACTCATGAAGATGTGTGAACAGAGATCAATTAATGTTTTAATTCAGAGAATTAAAAACTGTCTTAAGACGATACTTTAAATCTTTTGAAGTGGAGTTCTGTGGAAACARTATGAACAATTAACATCTTACCTGGTGTTGATAACTGTTTAAACGACCTCAGTTTGGAGAAATCGAGTTTAACTCTGACCAGATTGTTYAGCTAATGACTTAAAGTGAAAGCTAAAACTTCAGAATAAATTCAATCGTAAACATTTAAACAAGGTTAATGCAAACACTGTTTTATTAACCTTGACGTTGCTGTTAGTTTCACAWTCACGTGGGAGAAATATTTAGATTTTCCTGCTGGAACTGCCTCGGGCTGCGCCGTCATTTGTGCCCTTAAATAACCGTGTAACGTAAAACTGACGGAAATGCWAAACAGCATTCGCATGAATGACTGGATTTGTTTCAAGATGGCAGCAATTCAGTCTGACTCATCCCCACGCCAAATAACTGTTAGCGTGACAATGTGATCAGAATTAAACAGTTTCTCCAAACGGAAGGTGTTCTAAGATCCATCTACATCAGGTAAGATATTCTGTATTCAACAGAAACCCATTAAAAAAGATCTGAACTCTCTCGTTCATATAAATTATATTGAATTTTACCTGATAAATTTGAATCATTTATCATGTCAGCTGCTCCATTTGACACAAAAAGGTCTCCGGGTGAAACGTCTGATCCAGGTAAACTGACCACCACGGAGCTCCGCCTCCTCTCATGAAGCCTGAAACAGAAACATCAGATGGCTCTAATGGTTTATTCTATATCTAATAATTTTCCTGTGGTGAATGTAAAACATGGAGAAGGGAGTAGCCTCTGAGAGAAAAATGAAATAACAGAATTTCTTTTGTCATTCTGCGTAGCTAACACGCCACCTGCCCTGTGCAGAAGAACCTGGGATGAACCTGAYAAGCAGATATTATGAAGGCGAAGTGTTGTGTGTCTGCCTCGTGCYTCGCACGGCTGCTGGTTACTGGAAGGAGACAAGCAGTCGATGTGTGCCAGTTATAATCCTCTCMTTCTCCTTTTCACAGTGCGTAACTGAGGCTTAGGCTGGAAAAACACAGACCTGCCTTTTAGCCTTGGGCAAAGCCCACACAGACGCTGTTCTGAAGTGTTTTGACTTATCCTCCTTTGCTGTACATTAGGGATTACCGCTCRGAGTAAAAATGGACTCTCACAAGCTAAAATTAACTGAAAATCCCAAGAATGTGGTTCTGTTACGAAAAGCAGCATTAGAAAAACTATAAAGGGCARGGCTAGGACATGTCGCCAGGAATGATAAAGAATTAAGAGTCTGCACCTTGAAAAACTTGATTCGTGACAGTCCAATCCATGCCAAGTCTAACAAGAGACAAGCAGCCGTTTAACGAGTCTGCTGTCGATTAAAGTCAGGTGCGCAGCAACAAGATGGGCTGGTTTTGCTGAAAAGGAGCTTCCATTAGAAAAACTCTCATCCACAGTCAGTCGGTGAACGGCAACAATGCTTTGTGGTTTCACTTTTAAATATTTAAGTGTTGTGGCTTCTAAAAGAGGATCTGAAAGTTCAGAAGAACCAAAATAAACAGACCTGACTCAACCTCAAACAACCGAACCACCTTCACTCCACCATGGAGGACAAACGGTTTTTCTTTACGACTTCAACTGTTTTCAGGAAGTTGATGCGAGAGGAACAGTTAAGGTTCTGTTTTTTTTTAAAATGGCATCTATTGTATGTAAAATCCTCTTTGCCTGTCTGAAAGAGCAGACATTCTTCCTCTTACATAACTTAACATCCCCTCATATGGGAACTGCATTCTTGGAGTTGTACCTGCACAGTTGCACTGTTGTGGATATGAGCCACATGGCTGCAGGGCCCAACTGTACACTTGAAGGGAAACTCAGTCTGCTGCTGGACATAAGTAACCTGGTACGTTTTTCCGTCATGGTGCTTTTGTTAAAACGTGAAAGCCCCAACTGTTCCCTCCTCTCTCTGGCAGAGCTGAGCTGAWAAAACCTCGTGCTCAGTGCACGCACGGCACAGCAGATAATGGCTGGCATTGGCACCTGAGCACCGCCGTAGCCGATGGGGCTGTAAGAGAGGCGCGATTACGTCTCAAAACCAGGTCAGTGCCTCCTTGCAGTTTGTTCCACAGCATCKTCACAATGCCATCCTGTTGCTTTGTGATCGTGCAGAAAGCCTCCTCTGTACCAGACTCTCTGCCACCGAGAGCACTTGTTAATAAAATGGCCGTTTTGTTCRGACACAACAAGAAATAAGGATGTTTCAAAACAAAACGGCTCGCAACGGGCTGGACACTGCAGCAGGCARGGTGCCAAGGTGCAATTAATGGGACAAAAGCTGCCTAATTATCCAGTGAGGGGAAGAGCCTCGCCGCCCATTAGGAGGGGCGTGGGCGGTGGTGAGGGAAAACAGCTTTAATGAGGGTTTGTCTAGCCCGAATATAACCATGGGACTCTCAAAACTTTACCCACCATGCTTATGAAGCATTAACAAAGACATGAATGACAATGAATGGACAAAGGGGCTCAGAAAGCTAAAGATCCAATCAGCATCCAGGGATTGGGTCAAAGGCACTTTGATGTGGCGTAGCTCAGTCGTTTTGTGATGGGACATGATTTGTCAAAAGAAACGGCACAACCTCATCCTGAAAAGAGGCGACGGATCAGCAAACATGAGACGGTGTCCCGGCACAGGAAAGMTTACTACATTCCTGATAGGCAAATATGTCCTCACATATTTTAAAAAAGGTACAAAGACAACATGCAAAAACCAAGTTCGTCACAAGTCCAAGGTTCGGCGCGCTCACCTGCCGTCYCTGTGTTCTGACTCCTGCAGAGACAAGAAAACTCTTGTTAGTGCGATTCGTTTTACAAAGCCATTTTTACACAATTACACCGTTCGCTGAGGATGCAAAGACCTCCTGATAACAAACGCCACTATATCACTTTCAAAGACATTCAAATTTGTATCAGTGTTTAAAGTGGTCGCTCCCATTCTAAAGCCTCTGATACTGGGGGGAGAAGGCCGACACTCTATTGAGAACGCGCTTGCTTGAACCCACGAGCTGATGAATAGATCTCCCCCATTATCTTTTCCCAATCGCTCACTGACCCCTCCATTATTGGGTGACTGCTGACTGCGATGAATGGGGGCCCGGGGAGAGCACTTCCCAGGGCTCTCGGGTCTGTGGGTTTGGTCCGAGCTGTCAGTGCGTGTAACTGCTGATTCATTTGCTGTCAAAAGCTCGCATTGTGAGTGACCGCTGCGGGAGGCAAGGCAGAATGAGGGAGAGAGGGCTTCCGCGAGGAAGGAATGTCTACCTATTTAATTTATTAAAGGCCTTGGGTGAAAATCCACAGTGAGCTACAGAAATAAAAGGACTATGAGAGGAGGTCTGAGGTTAGGAAGAGAGATCTTTTTATTTACAAAGTCCTAGCATTTTTTGAAGAAATGCATATCCCTCACCACCACTCGTGAAACTTTTAGACAAACAGTGCTAAAAATGATGGAATTTTTGGTAAACCTTGAAAATAACAATCAAATATGTTGACTCTAAAAGTTCATCAGTTGTAGATATGAACCTATGAAAGATTCATTAACACCTGCCCACTGTCTGCTGATATATTTTACTAACAGTGCAGACAAACAAGTGAAAACAGCCTTCAGATAACAAAAAATAGTTTAAATTTTAAACTAAAAAGCTCACCTGCAATTCTCCATCAGGAAATCCAGATTTTTTAAAAAGAGCAGGATGAGCGCTGTGACACTGCTGTTTTGTGGAACTGACCCCGTTCTCCAAAGTCTTTGATCTGTGTGATCTGGTCCTCTGTGAACCTGACTGATGGTTGAGCTCTTCATCAGAGACGGGGTTTGCGGCGAGAGGCGAAAGGGGGCTTTTCGGGGACGTCGTCGTGGTGGACGAGGGCTCCTCCTGAGTGCTCTCCATCATGACAGGATCTCGAGTGTTTATGACCGAACGCCGCGTGCTCCTCATCCTCCTCAGGGTCGGAGATGTGGAGATCCGCCCGGGAGCTTGGCGGTCAAACTGGAAGAACGGTGCTGCCAAACCGTCAGTCTCCACCGCACACGAATGCCTCAGCTTGGAGTGAGTCCGTTTCAGGTCTATGTGCATTATGACGGGGCTGCAGGTCTGAATCTCCTTGTCCTCTAAAGGCCCCGAGTCCGTTTGCGTTTGGGCGTCCACCAGACCTGTCGTGACAACTTCATTCTCAACCCATTCAATGTAACTCCAATCCAGCTTCCTTTCTTTGTCCTGGTCTTTGTCCTGCAGAATAACGTGCTTCAGCGTAGTCATTGTAACCTCAAAGGCATTATTATCGTGCAGCGGAGATCAGAAAACAGGTAATCTCACAGGCCGATCGCTTCACCTCCTTCAGGTTAACGTCAAGGTAATAATCCTGTTGCGTCGCACTCTCACTCTGTTTATTTGTTTCTGTGAATGAAAAAAGAAAACTTTTAAATTCACAAAAGTATTGAGTCCTCCCTCATTTCTTTACATTTTGCTTCCAAGGAAACAGATTTTCTTGGGATTTCTTTGGTGTTTTTGATCACCTACTTTGCATTTTTTTTTTAAATCTCCTATCTACAAATTATTCAAGCATAAAAATTACCCCTGAATGCAAAAAATAAACCAGTGTTGTGTTGACATAATACTGCCTAACACAACATTTTTTTGGCCTTTATATGTGTCTGTCTTTTACCAACATATCTCATGAACCACCGGATACATTTTAAAGAAATTCACCCACATGAGCACCAAACTGACTCGAAATTTGATGTGGTAGTTAATGAGGAGTCATTGTGCGATATCCCGTGAAACTGTGTATAACGTTATTTTTAAGGTTTGACCAAAACAGCTACAACTTCATTTCTCAACATAAAATGATCTTAGTCTAAAACTGTGGCATGACAAGAAGCAGGTGTTATGCAATAATACTAGAAATAGAAAATAAAACTACTTTAAAAAGGGATTTATGGGCCTTTTATTACCAGCAGCCTGTCATAAAGATATAATATGTTCCCACTTCTTTAACTGAATAAATACCAAAGGTAAAACAGTTTGATATAATGTGTTTTAACATGAACAAGTCCAAGAGACTTGATGCAGTGTCCTGTGTTAGGAAAATATCAAGCACAGACAATATCTCTTAAAAACATTCAGATACTGTTTATCTGCTGTATTTTTTTAAGCACAACACTTTCACCTCTATCTTCTATTTCTATCAGACTTGGAAGCAGGCACTGTCCTACATACTGTCATAATCAAGTATTGAACAGAAAATAGGTAAAATTACAATAAAAACCTTTAAAGACTTACAAAAATGTATTAAAAACCATTGGTCAAGACCACTTTAAAATACTATAATTTAGTAGGACGCAAKGTGAAAATAAATTAGAGCTAATTAAAGTTTTGTCCATTTCTAWATCTTGTGAAAATTGGTTTATTTAGGGTTGAATTGGCAGAAATAAAAATCTTCAAAAAGGTCCACTATGCAAGGTTGGAAATCCACAGAGATGCTACGGTAAGTGTGACTGTTTTATTATTCTAGCTCTTGTTTCAGACTGTTAGATCCTGCGTTTTATATTTATTCATTTAAAGTTTAACAAATTGCTGCTGTTCTCATCCCCAGTATCAGGTGCATTTAATTGTTTTAATAAGTAAGCCGCGCGTGCTTTAACTCGGCACCTGAACAAAGAAAACACGGACATACAAAACTGCTAAAAATAATAAATTAGGAACTGAAACCGCAACTGCTTTGGGTGGAAAGTAAAATGTAATTAAAACCCCAGAGTTTGCTTACATCCACGCTGCTCCGCGCGTCGACCCCACTCCACCGGCGGCGGCTCAAGGTGAAGTTTGACCGGGGAAAACTTGGCTAAAACAGCGGCAGSCTGGAAGGTTAAACTCCGGAGGAAGGCTCGAAGTTGTTAAACTCTCAAAAGGCGAGAAAATAAGAGCGCCGAGAGTTTCATCTTTGTCCTGACCTGGCGCTGGTGTGGAAGGTGCGACTGACTGTTCAGCTGAATGGGAAAATTAACTCAGCGTGAACCCGACTTTTACGTCATCACGCAGCCTCGACTCACGTCTCACGCAACCCGGAAGTATGAGGTTGAATTTGATAGTTTTTATTTTATTCTCGTTTGAGAAATTCTGTCTTATAAATAAATAAATGAATAAATAAATAAATAAATAAATAAATAAATAAATAAATAAATAAATAAATAAATAAATAAATAAATAAATAAACAGTAATGCCGTCACAGCTACTGCTATTAAATAAAAAATCACATAAAGCAGAACAATATATACAACTTTCCAATGCTGCTATTTTCATTGAAGTTTTTTAATTGTTTGACAGAAAAAACACTTTTATTTTTTTAAATTTGCCCTACTTACATATTGTATTGTTTGTGAATGTATTGCAATATAATAGGCATGAACTGAATTTAATTTAATTTAATTTTACTTAAGATCTGTTTTGAACTGAACTTATACTTGTTTTTTATTGTTTATTGCCCTTAGATGACCTTTTCTGTGAATTGGCTATAAAGAAATAAACTGAATTTAATAGTGTCACATGAGATGACGGTTTAACATTTCACACCCCTTCATTTTGAATACCACATACTCTCTATCTATCTATCTATCTATCTATCTATCTATCTATCTATCTATCTATCTATCTATCTATCTATCTATCTATCTATCTATCTATCTATCTA